TGGAAGTCAGACCTCCCTGTCACAGCTCCCCCACCCCCAGGTGGACCCTGGGCCAACTAGAGATAGGCCTAGCCCAGGAAGCCAGGCTCTAGGCAGTGAGCTCTCCCACTCGGGGTGCATCCATTTCCTTTCTTGGGTCCTCGGTGAGTTATCTGGCAGCAGGAATGTCTTTGTGATTCAGTGTAGCTTGTTCTGGCTGTGGTCTCCTGAGCCCAGCCCTCTACAGCACTGAGAGAGCAATCCCCAGTGGTCCCTGGGGCCCACCTCCCTTTTCCTGGCCCTGCTCACCCACTCAGTTCATCCCTAAATGTTTACCCCTATCAGGCCGAGGGTGGAGGTACTTCCCCAGCAAGCAGTGGTCCTTTTCTTCCTATCTCTATGGTTGTGCCCTTATAGCACTTTGGAAGCAGGTGAGAGCTTGGACCAAGCCCCCAGCCCAGTTTTCAAGACCTTTTTGGTGAGCAGAATCCCTCCTTTGGACCAAAGGCCTGCCCTGGGGCTCTCTTCCAGGTTCTTAAGCACCTCACCCTCAACCTAGAACTGTCTTTCCTGCACAGCCCCTCAGAGTCAGCAAGACTCAGGGGTTTTCTGCTCCTGACTCCCAGGAGTCTGACATTTCTTCTTTTGGAAGGAATTCCTAGGAGTTTCTAGCTCAATGTCATCTGCGGAGCTTGTAATTCTCACCATTTGGTTTCTGTCCACGTATATGTGGTCTCTTGTCGTTTACTTTTTGTCGTTGTCGTCCCTCTTTCGCCTTTCCTCGTTTTCCGAGCCCTGGCTTCCAGGCTGGTCTGGGCATTGTCTTCTGTCCTGCTGCTCCTCCCATGCATGGTACACTGCAGCCCCTCATTCCTCCCTAAGTCTCTGTATCAGGGACTAGTAACAAGCCCACAACTGCTCTTCTTCAGAGGAGTCCTGCCACATGGCTTATACGTCCTGTCCCTTAGAGTCGGATCTGGAGCATTCAGGTGGTAAAAAGGAGGCCTGGCTGAGCCAATCAGAGGAGCTTGGGCTCTGCTCCCAGCAGCTTCCTAGAGGGGCACCTTCTGAGGGAGAGGTAGGCAGGACTGTAGAAGGCCTTGTTGGGAAGTATGGTTCAGATACTGCCGTGGCCCCACCCAGCTTCAGAGCTGTTTCTTTCTTAGCAGAGACACATTTTGGCTTTGGCTCTACTAGTCTCCCCACCCCCATTTCACCCCAAACAGCCTACAGGAACCCATTGCCATCCTGGGGACCGCCCCTATCAGAATTACATCAGCAACGGCTGGTGTAATCAAACCCCATTTGTCAGTGTGAATTCTTAGCAGATTAACTTGTCAGATTCACAGAGAAACCGTCACCAAATGTTTATGTGTAAACGATGTTGAATTTTAAAATCATGTGGATTATGGCGGATGGGGCCTGACAAGATGACAGTCTCTGGTTTCTAACAAAGTGAAGTTACCAGTGTCAAAACAGAGGATGTTTATTGTTAAAAATGTCTCAAAGTATCCACAGAAACCCCTGCAGACCCCTGCCAGCAAAGCTGGGCCTTGGTTGGCTGACCTAAGGCCTGGGACTCTCCTGGTGTGAGTCCCAGGGCAGGAATGGTGGGGCTGCAGACAGACTCGGCAGCCAGCTTGGAGCCCCACACAGCACCACACGACACCACTCAACCCCACCACACACCCCAGAGGGGCCAGGCCCAGGCAGTTGAGCAATCTCAGAGCATCCCCTCTACCCAGGGCTGCCTTCCTCTCCTTTTCTGCCTACCACAGCCTCTCACCTTTCATCACACCCTTCTTCCACCTCTCCCCCTCTCTCACCACCATCGGACCCCATGAGCCTCTCCCTCCCTCGTCCTCAGTACTCCTCTCAAGGCTGACAGCCAGTTCTCAGCCTCCCTGCCTGGAGCTGGCAATCCTGAGACTGCTCAGATCTGACATGGACATTTGCAGTCCCCCGGCCCCGCCAGCCCCCGCAGTCAGTAAAGCCCCACAGGAGGTTTCCTCTGCCTCACTGTCTGCTGGGCCTCCGTCAGGAAACACCCAGCTTGGGGTTGAGAAGTGGACCTGCCACTGGAGGGGCCTTACCAGGGGTGGGGATGTCACTTGTGTGAGTACTTGGCCCTGGTTTAAATTCTCCCCAATACGCTAAAAGGTTAGGGAATTAGGGGAAAAGAGGGGGTGGAAGACATCCTGCTAAAAAAGTCATCTGAAAAGAATGAGGCTCTCTGTGCTGATAGAGAAAGATCTTTAAAATACATAAAATTTGAATAAAATAAGTATGGCTAGTATGATTGTAATATTATAGGAGGAAAAAGCTTATATAACAAGTATATATACTAGTAAATGTGCATAAAGAAATCTGGAAGCATACACAGATCTACCCCTGGGGAACAAGACAGACACACATGGAGGGAGACAACTGGGAGGACCATCCTGACTTTACCTTTTCCTTTTTCTTCCTCTGTACTGTTAGGAGTTTTCACCACATGCGTGGATTACTTTTACTTAACAGAGGAAATCATTTGGCTGTACTCAGGGCTACGTTGGCACGGCTCTGCCAGGGATTCTTGCTCTCCTCTGCTTAGAGCTCCCGTGAGCTGACTGCTCTCCTCACACCCAGGAGCCCTGGATACACTTTATATTCCACCTTGAGTTTCTACCTCTTAATACCCAAAGCATCAACTGCTGGTCTTGGAGGTAGAGAATATGCAAAAAGAGAGGGATCTTGTGAGTCCAGGACCAGCCATGCAGTCAGAAAGAGTAGAAAGAAAAGGGTCTTCTACTCCCTCAGTTCAGAGTCCTGGGAGAGGGGTCTGTGGAGGCTGGTGGCTTGGGCAGCTTGCAGGGCACGAGGCAGCACAGTCCTATGCTGGAGGCAGGGCTCCAAAGCAGAAGGCCAGCCACAGCCCAGCCTGGCCCTCTGTAAGTCAGTAGGGGAGGGGCACCCCCCGCTGATTGTCTTCATCAGGTAAAGGACTTGGGGGAAGGCTGAGAGATGGCTGGCCTTGACCCCCCAGGACCAAATTTCCCTCTAGAGAGAGGAGAGGCAGCCAGCGCCTCTGCCAACTGCCCTCGGTGAAGTCCTTCTCTCTTGTGCCAACAGAGGAGCCAATCCGGCTACTGCGGGAGGTGGTGCTGTTGACGGATGACCGGAACCTGCGTGTGAAGGCACTGACGAGGAATGTGCCTGTGCGGGACATCCCAGCCTTCCTCACGTGGGCCCAGGTGGGCTGAGGGGGCCTCACCGGGGCCCACCCCCATGGAACCGTTCCTGAGAGGCCACCAGGCGCACAGTGTAGCATAGAAGATGCCCACGTGCCTGAGCCACCAATCCACCCAGACAATAAACCATCCTCTTCCAACCCACGCCGTGGCCATGCTGTGGGGGAGCTGCTCCTCACAGAGCCCCTCCCAAGGGTCGGGCGGAAACTGCTGGGACCCTCCTCGGCTGCCAAGATTTAGCAGGGAGGTGGCTGGCTGCAGTGACAGCAGGTGGGCCAGCCAGGTAGGCTGCCCACACTCTGAGCCTTTCTCCCTCCCCATGTCTAGTTCAAGGGCTGGGAGAAGGCCTTCTCGGCCCCAGGACTCAGCCACTTTCTCACCTGGAGATGGGGCAGGGGGTTAAGAGTTTCCATCAGATGCAGGTGGAATGACGGGTCCCTTTGATTTTCTTCAGAATCCCTGTCCTGAATGTGTCCAAGAGGCTTTGGTCATGCCATGAAGAGAGTGCCCAGGGTTGGTCTCTCTCCCTGAGGCCTGGATTCCCCACGGACCTAAGTTGGGTTCTGGACCCCACATCCTGAACAGCAGCCCTAGGCCCACGCCTCTTCTACCCCACCCCCAACACAAACACACACCCTGCTGCTCTTCTTCCTGCCCTTATCAATCTGGGTCCATTGCACTTTGCCACTTACTTTCCCCTCGGATGGTCATGGGTCTGGAGGGAAGGGACATCCAGTCTCAGGCCCATGCTCCCTGGGTGGCCTTTGCCTTCTCCCTCCCCCCTCATCAGCCTTCCTTTTACTCTAGTTCCCCACTTCACGAAATGTCCTCAGGTTCTTCTTAGTTCTCCCCTCCCTGTCCTCCCTCTCTCCCTCCTGAGTCATCCCCTTCACCCTCCTTCCCTTTCTAGTTGACCCCTCTCACCTCCCTGGTCCCCTCCATTTCCTCACCTCAGTTCCCCCATGGAGGTTCTCACTCTGAATCTTCCTCCTCCGGTACCTGGGACAGGAACCTAATAAAGTTTTTCCACCCCTAACCTCCTTTGCCTGGCTCCTGTGCTCCGAGAAACTTCCAGGCTTGTACAGCCCAGCCTGAGGGTAGCCTGAAGTTTCACCCTGTTTCTAGCTTTGCCCTGGAAGAACTTGACACAGGGGCCCTTTGGCCTTGGAGTTTCTTGTTGCCGCTGGCACCTGTGTTCAAAATCTCACTCTGGAGGCTGCCTTCTGGGAATGGGTTCTCCCAATCCAGGGACGGGGATGAGGGGGACTTAGAGGGAAGGCAGTTCTGAGGAGGAGCCAGGAGTAAATTTTGATGGGACCAGTGAGGGAATCTGCCAGAGCACCGTCTGACTTCACAGGTTGCCCTGAAGATGAGAGCAAGGCTGTGCCTTCCCTGAGGCCCAAGACTATGCCAGAAGGAAGGGGGACTGTGCAGGAGAGCCAGGGCCAATAGTTTGGGGGTATGAGCCCCCCAGGGCCTCAGAAGACTGGGCTGTTTAGGGTACAGGGTCCCCGGCCTCTCTTTTGAGAACTTCTCCCTGGATGAAGGCCACTGACTGGGTGGGTGGGAGACCTGTCTCTCCTTTCTGTCCCATTTGCAGCACTGGTTTTGTTTCCTTAATAAATTTTTAGTTATGAAACATACCTGACCTCTTGCTGATCTGTCTCTGGGACTGGGGAGGGAGAAGGTCCAAGTCTCTGCACTTGTATGGGGGTGCGGGTCTGCCCCCTCCACCCACCCTGGTGCAGCCCACCCAGGTCCTTGTGCAGGGTGGAAGAGAGCAGCAGGGTCCAGGGTCCTTGGTTACTGCTTTATTGCTGTTTGGTTCGAGTATAGAAAATGGAAGCGGCTCTGGAAGAGCCTGTGTACAAGGTAGGAAATATACAAACGAGGAGGAGGGAGCTAAAGAGACCACGTTCCAGCCCAGCCCAGCCTGGGCTCGGGATGGGGGGCTGCCCAGGGCGCATGCAATAAATATGGTCCGGGGCCCCAGGGAAGGAGAGGGACACCACACCGCGGGAGTGGGAGACCGGGTAGGCCAGGGCTGTCTCAGCCCTCTGACTCCAGAGGGAGGGAAGGGTTGGCCCTGGGGCTAGTGCCACTTGTGCAAAATGAGGAACTTCACATTATCAGTCCCGGGGCGGGCGGGAGCGGGGGGCAGGGGGCCCTCCGGCCGGCTCAATCCCCTCCCCGCTCCCCAACTCTGCCCAACGCTCCGACCCCAGCGGGGAGATTCACAGTGAGAATGGGTGTGGTCGCAAGGGCCGGAGGTAGGGCTGGGAGCGCCCCAACAGTGACACCCCTCCCCCCAAGAGCAGCACGGAGCCGGGGAGGGGGCCAACAAACCACAGGAAGAGGCGGAGAGGGGCCGGGGGTCTCCTTTGGTCAAAGCTGATATCAAAAATATAGATCTCCCTTCCCCCATCCCACCCCTGTCCCGGGGTTTTCCCCCCACCCCCACCCCCAGGCTAAGGCACAAAGCAGTGAGGCCAGGTGAGGCCGCAGAGAGGTGGGGCCGCCGCCACCGCGGCGACGCTGCCGCTGCTACTACAGCTGTCCGGGCGCGGTGTGCCTGCTCGCTGCTGCCGCCGCCGCTCCCTGGGGGCGCGGGTCGAGACCACGCGGCAGCGACGACGCGGGCCGGCCAGAGGCGCCCTAGGTGGGGGAGAAACGGTCGATGGTCCGGCCGTCGGGTCCAGCGGCCAGGTGCGCTCCCTGGCTCAGCACCTCGGCCGCCTTGTCCGGGCTCAGGCCCAGCTCCGCCGTGAACTTAGCCAGCGGGTAGAGGCTCTCGAGCGCCACCTTGGGGTCGTGCAGGAAGTGCGTGGTCTGCGCCAACAGCTCGGCCGCGGCTGCCTTGTCCTGCTGCTTCAGGCTCAGCTGTTCAGCCGTGAGGCGGGCCACAGCAAAGACGCCCTCGGGGAAGTCGAGCTTGCCCTTGCCATCCGGGCCGGGGACGCCAGGTAGCCCCCCCAGACCCGCCAGCGCACTGGCTGCGCCGGCCGCCCCACCCACGGCGTGCATCTTCATGTGGCTGATGAGGTTGCGTTGCTGTGCGAACTTGCCGCCGCACACCTGGCACTCGTAGGGCTTCTCGCCCGAGTGGATGCGCATGTGCTCCGTGAGGCGGTACTGGCGCGTGAAGCGCATGCCGCACGCGTCGCACGCGAAGGGCTTGAGGCCCAAGTGGCTGCGCATGTGGCGCGTCATGGTCCCGCGCTGCGTGAACTTCTTCCCGCAGATGGTGCATGGATAGGGCCGGGTCAGCCAGTGCGTCTTCTCGTGCTGCCGCAGCGTGGCCGGGTCCTTGTAGCTCTTGTCGCACGACGCGCAGCGGTACGGCCGCAGCAGCTCACCCAGGCTGCCCGGGGCCCCAGCGACCTTGTCCCCACCGCCTCCAAAAGGGGGCCCTAGGCCTGCGGCCCCGGCAGCTACCTCAGCCGCCTCGGCCCTGCCATACAGCGCCTCCTCCTCCTCCACGTGAGCCTCTACGTGCGCATTCAGCTGCTCCGAGCTGGGAAAGCCCTTGCCGCACGGGATGCACACGTACAGGTTGTCACCGAAGCTCTCAGGCTCGCCGTAAGCCAAGTGCGGGCATGGGTAGCCCTCGAGGTGGCCGCCGGGCGGGCTGGGGTCTTCGCTGCTGCCCGTCTCCTCGCTGCTGCTCTTGTAGTCGTCGCCGTCACCGCCTGCGCCAGGCCCGTCCAGGCTGCCCGGGTAGCGCGGCGGCGGCCCCAGGCCGAGCGGGGGGCCCCCGGGCGAGGCGGCGGGGTCCCCGCCACGCTCCTCGCAGCGCTCGCCCGGGGAGCCGCGCTCCCGGCCCAGCTCGTCGCCATAGCTCCCCAGGCCTGGCTCATGCTTCATCCAGCGGTAGAGGAGACTGGGCCCGTCGGGGCGGCCGGGGGGCTCGGGTCCCGGGCTGCCGCCGCCGCCACGGAACGGGTCCGGAGGCGGGACGGCCTCCTCCAGCTTCTGGAAGAGCGGCGGCAGGGCCAGCGGCGGCTCCTTGTAGGCTGCGGGGCCGGCGCTGGGAGGGCTGTCTGGGCGCGGGGGCAGCTCGCGTTCGCCCGGCGGCCGCTCAGGAGGCGCGGAGCCCGGCGGGCTTTTCTTGGACAGGTCCAGGCCGCAGAGCGGGGAGCAGCGGCGCTCCGGGGCGCAGAGGGCGGCAGCCGGGCCGGGGCCCGAGGCGTACAGCTCCGCGCAGTGCGTGTTCACGGCGGCCTCGGGGCCCGACGGCGGCTCGGCGGCGGGCGGCGGCGGAGGCCCGGCCGGGGACGAGTAGCAGGCCTGGATGACGGGTGTGGCGGCCCGCAGGCCCCGGCCCGGCCGCCCATAGGGTGCGTAGCCGCCGCCGCCGCCGCCGCCGCCCCGCAGGTGGCAGTACTTGCCGTGGCGCTTGAGGCGCTTCTTACACAGCGCCACGAGGTCGGGGATCTGCAGGTAGCTGGCAGCGGCCAGCACGGCGCCCAGGCTCGGCTCGGCCCCCGGGGCCACGGACGCCGCCGCCGCCTCTGCGCCATCAGCCAGGCGTCCGGTGTAGATGAAGTCCAGGACCAGGCGGAACACGGCCGGGCTCACCATGTCATGGTCCAGGTTGAGCAGGTTGTCATGCACCACCAGGGACTTGAGGTAGGCGCTGCTGGCCGCCAGCACGTTCTTGTGTGCGCGAAAGAGGGCGTTCTGCACCACGATGATCACGTCGCACAAGAAGCCCTTGGTGCGCTGGTTGTTGAGCTGCAGCAGCAGCTGCCTCGAGTGGCCGGGCGCCTCCATCGTGTCCAGCATCGTCTGCCCAGCACAATCTCCTGCGGGGACACACACCAGCCGGGTCAGAGCCGCACCGAGCCCTGGCTGCCTGGACCCAGCCCGGTGCTTCTCCCCTCCACTTCCCCTTCCCCTCGGCTAGGCCGGGGCATCAGCACCGCGGCCTGGGCATTGGCGGGGGATCGGCTGCCTCCGAGTGTGGGAGCCTGGGCCGGCAGGCCCGGCCAGAGGAAGGAGCAGGAGAGTGGCTGGTGGAGAGGAGGCCGGGCGGCCTGCACCTCAGGCCCGGATGCCGCCGGCCACACAGGCTGGGTTGTGGGGACTTCCGAGGAGAAAACTGTTCGGGCGAAGTGACCCTTTCGGAGACAGTTACCCGACTTGAGGAAAATGTCCGCTTCAGGAAAAGTCATTCAGGGCCGAGAAGTTTGCCCAAGTGGGATATAAGGGAGCCGAGTAAAAAGCACCTCCCGCCTCGGGAGAAGTTGCCCCAGCTGGGGGAAGTGATCCGGAGCAGGGGAGCGCGGTGCCCGCCGTGGCGCCGCCCTGGCCGGGGCTGTCAGGCCCTCATTTGGGGCCCGGGCGGCAGCCGCGGCGCGGGGAGCGGAGGCAGCGGCTGCCTTGGCGGGCAGAGCTCGAAGGCCGGGCCCCGGCACGGGGAGGGCGTTATATCGGGGCAGGAGGCTGAGGCAGGAAGCAGGTGGGGGGGAGGGGGGAGCCACGCAGTTCCCAGGGGAGGGAGGGGGCAGCGCCCCGGGCGGGCACGGCGCGCAGCCGGCTGCGGCCCTGACCCGGCCTGCGCCCCACCCGCGTCCCGGCCCCGGGCCTCGGCCTCTGCTCTGCATTCGCGGGCCGGGAGCCTCCCTCCCCAGCTCCCCTCGGCCCCTTCTCCACACGAACTCCGCCGTCCCAAACTTGGGGAAAAGTTTCCCAACTTCAGACAGGCCAGGAGGAGCGCGCCAGCCCCAGTCCCTCGGCTCCCAGCTTTTCCTCTCGGCCCCCAATTTCGGCAGCCAGGCGTTTGCGGGGCCTGAGCCGATCCCTGAGCTCCCCTGCCCGCCCGCTCGCCCGCCCGACCCTGTTCCCCTCCTGGCCCGCAGGGCCTCGCAGCCCGTTACCTGTGGCCGCAGCCCGACCGGGCTTCCCTCCCCGAGGCGGTGGCAGCTCTTAGCCAGGGCCCCCCCCGCCCCGCTGCCAGGCGCCGAGCTGTGCCAGGGCAGCGCCCCTGCCAGCCCCGCCCGCCAGCTCCCCTTCCCTTCCTCTAGCCTCTTCAGCCCATGTGCGGGCAGAACCGGCCCCGGGCCGCTGACCCCGCCGTGAACCCAGCGCAGAGCAGCGGCCCGGAGGTCCTGAGTCCTCTAGGGGCGACACCCCGAGACCTGAACCCCAGCCGCGCTGGGGTGCCCGCGCCAGAGGATGCGCCCGAGGCGGTAGCGCGCGAGGACCGGGCTGTCCGGGTCCCCTGTCCCTCCCGGTCCCCAGCCCCAGGACCCACCTGGGGGGCATGTCGGAAGCCCCGGGCCCGGCTGCCGGCGGATCCAGGGGGGACGTGGCTGCGCTGCGCTGCCCTCCGCCCGCCGGGCCCCCGGTCGGTCTGTCTTGCTGGTCCGTCCTCCCCGCGTCCTGGTCGCGTCTCAGCCCCGCCGCGCTTTCCGCACACTCTTATCTGGAGCGGCCCGGCCCGGCAGGCGCTGCTGCAGCTATGGCGCCACCTCGCGGCCGCGTGGGGCTTTGCGCAGCACAGCCGCGACCTCCCTCCCGCGCACCTGGGTTGGAGGTTCGCAGATACTGCGCTGGACCGGGAGGGGGGCCTATTCGCAGGTTCACCCTCCCAGATGTGCCCACTTGGGGACCCAGGCCCCGGACCTGAGAGCCCCACAAACCTCGGGGTTTTGAGCTGAACGCTCCCGTGTACGTATTTCTAGATTCTCACATTGCCCCAATTCAGAGAAGTCTTGCCCCCAAGGAGGGGACTCTGGTGACAGTGGCTGGTGGGAAGGAGGTTACGGAAACCCTAACGGAGAAGAAGGTAGACAAGATCTTAGGGGACTCTCCTTAGGCATTCCTAGATGGAACTGTCCATTTATACCCACCACCCCCAACACATCCACCCTCACTCAGCCACATGGGTTAGGTACGCACAGAATAAACCTGTTTGCACCCAGACGGTCTCCGGGCATTGACACCTGCGGGCACGCCTGTTTGCACAGAACACACCTGCCCCCTTCCGGAGTCCAAGCCCTGAGGACTGGACTCCAGGGGCTGCTACGTAGGGCCCTTCGTGGACCTGAGTAGAGGTGTTACAAACAAACAGACCTGAACTTTCAGGTCTCTGGAAGGATCCCAGGACATTCGAACGGGAATGGCTGGACAGCGCCTCTTGGAGGTCCTGCAAGAGAGACCCAGCCCCCAGATTCCCTATGTGAGCCGTTTTGAGGGACCTGCCTGGACCACCTCCTCTCCAACCCAAGGACCCGAGAGAAACGTGACAGGAAGGCCTGCAGGCCGGGATCCCCCGCAAGGTCCTGCATCCCCAGGTGAAGGCCGGGTTCTTGCAGGTGACGCCCCTTCTGGGAGGGAGGGGACCCTGCACTGGCGCGCGGGCACTCGCACGGCTACTCCGGAAGTGTCCCCGCGCAGCCCAGCCGCCGCAACGGCCGGTAGCCAGCGCCGGGTCACCGCGGCCCACGCTCCGCCTCCTCCCCGCGCCTCCTGACCCCCGCCTACACGTGGGGGGTGGGAGTGCGTCCCCGAGAACGCCTGCAGCTTCTGATTGGCTGCTCTTCCCTCAGCCGCCGCGCGCGAGAGGCTGGGGCTCAGAGTTACCATAGTAACCGATGAGGTTCGCCCAGATCGCGTCTCTCCAAGGCCTTGGAGAGCTTAGCAACTCGCAGGGCCGCTGGGCAGGTGGGGGCCGCGTTCGCCACCCCCCGCGCGGTCCTCCGCCCCCACGCCCCTGCTAGAGGTAGTGGCTGAGTCATTCATTGAGGGGCCGCCGGCGCAGCCGCTCGTGGTCCGTGACAGACACCAAGGTCTCAGGCGCCCCCCAGAGGCTCTCTTTCCTCCACAGGCGACTTCATGGCCTTGGGGCCAGGCGGCAGCTCCTGGTCCCCGCAGGTCCCTCCGACTCCCACCGAGTCTTGAGTCCGTGTTCTGGATCTATCTTATCCAAGTCCTCTCCTCCGTCTCCCCACGGTGTCCTCACTAGAGAAGTAGTGAGGTTCCAAGAATGAAAATTGTGGGCTCCCAAGCTTCCAGCCTCTAGGGGAGACGGACCCCCACATCTTGGCCAAGGGACGTGCGGCTGCGTCGAGGTGGAAAAATGTATGGAGTGCTGGAGGGAGACTAGAAGGCTCCTCAGAAGAAGTGCTCTTAGAGGTGGGCTTTGATGGACGAATAGGTGTTCTCACCCTAGACAGGAAGGCATTCCTTGGAGCAGAGAACCACTGGGGCAAAGACTGGAGACAAAAAACCTAAAGAAAAAGAAAAGGGAGGGGGTACTCTAGGAGACCAGATCCCAAAGTGTGCGTGATCTCTCTGACCCCGTTTCAGCTGTTATCTTTTATCCTTGTGATGGGGCCAGATCCTAGCCCCACAAGGAGCCCCTCAGCCCCGTGTCTCTTTTGTGCGGTGCAGTCTGTGGTCCACCGTGCCCACTGTCTTTTTCTTCAACACTCTCCCCAAGTTGACTCACTGCCCCAGCCCCTACCCTCAAGCTGTCCTTACATTTGTACGGGAGGGTCTTACACACCTTCCCCCAGCCCAGCTGCCCTCCTATGAACTTCCCCCTTCTTCAACCTTTGACCTTTCCCTCCCTCCCTAGTTTCACCTACCCTGGCTGTTGCTGCCCCCTCCCCACCCCAATCTGGCTCCTCCTCCCTCTGAACACACTCCCCCTTCCCTATTTCGAGGCTTCCTCAATTGATGGAGCTAGGCTGAGCCAGGATCCTTCATTTCCCTGCTGCTGTCGAGGGGAACTCTCCCCGGCATGGTGTGGGCCCTTCCTGCCAATTCTGATCTCCAGGAACTCTAGCTCCTCCTCTTGGAAGTGGTCTCTGCCCCGCAAACCCCTGGAGACCCCTCCCTGCCAAGCTGCTGAGCCCTTGGTCTCCTTCACTCCTTATCACCCTTGTGTGAGCTCTGCCAATGCCCATCATTCCACAAATGGGCCCTAAACGCAGTCCACTGTGTGCCAGGCTCTGAAAATGGCACTGCCAACCTGTCCTCCTGCACTCCACTGGCTGAGGCTCTTCCTCTTGCCTCTTCTCCTGCCACCTTTTCCCCAACTGCCCCATAGAGGACCCCCTTGTTCATTTCCGGGGAGTGCAAGCCACCTCCTCAACTCTTCTGCCTTCCTTTGGGTCTCCAACTCCCGATTGGTACCTGGACCCCCACTGGACCTTCCCTTCCAGGCCCAGCCTCCTCCTACAAAGCCTTCCAGGACCCCTGAGCTCCCGCATTCTTTTTCTTCATTTTCCGGACACCACAGCTCTAGAAGCAGCCCTAGACCCCTCCTAGGGTCCAGCTTCCTCTCCTGAGCCCACTCCCACCCCCCCCCCCCCCCAGTGGCCCTGCGGTATGGCCCTTGAGAGGTATCTTGTGGCTTCACAGAGCCGTCGGGTTCAGCAGGTGAGGAATGGGAATGGGGGCTACCGGGTGAGGCCCTCTGGAAGGCGAGCAGGGTGGGGTTGCGCCCCCAGGTGTTTCAGAGTGAATAAACATGTAACGGACTCCTTCACTCTCCCGGCACTATCCTCCCGCCGGCCCCCAGCCCGCAGTTCCGGAAAGTTAACCCCTGATAGACCGGCACAGGGGGCTCGGGCTCCCCCTCCCGTTCCTGCTTCCGTGAGCCCTCTTCCCCCTCCCAGCTCCCTGTCGCCTCGGTACCCCCCCCCCTCGCCTCGCCACTATAAATAGCCCCTCTTCCCGTTTCCTAAATTCCCTGCTGACGTCGGCAGCGCGTCAGTGTGTAGGAGCCGCGGCCGCATGAATGAGCCGCCGCACGAGTACTACGCGCTCCTATAAAAGCCGCCGCGCCAGCCGGGCTGCGGGAGGCGAACGGGCGCGGGCGCGACGCGGCTCGACAGGTAAGCGGGACTGACCGACCGACGGGAGACAGATGGACCCACGCACGGACACGGACAGGAGGGCAAGGAGGAGACCGGCAGGCAGCAGGTTGGAGGGCCCCTACAGGGGTGGGGTTGGGGACAGGGTGGGGTACCAGGGTCCCCTCGCAGCTGGTGGAGCCGGGCCGGAGGCGTACACAGAATCCCGTGCAGCACCTGCCCGCTCCTGGATGGAGACGCAGCCACTTCGGAGGAGCATCTAACAGAGGATGGACCCCAGAGTCCCCGCAGCTTTTCCTGGGGCTCCTGCGCCATTCTCCCAAGAAAGTGGGGCGAAGGTGCTCGCGCCCCCTCCTCCCCCTCCCCGCAGCACGGTGACTCAGCCTCGCTGCCCCCGGCCAGCTGAGCGGGGGAGCGGGCAAGGGACAGACGCCCACCTGCCCGCCGCCCGGGCCGCAGCTCTCTCGGGACCCCAGCCCCGCATTCAGCCGGGGCGCCCCCTCCCCGTCCTGTCCCGTCGGGCTGGTCCCTCTGCGCCCCCGACTTCCCGCCTCTGCGCGAGGAGCTGTCCTCTCAGGACCAGGAGGGGGCGGGGCCTCAGCCGGAGTGCCCCGCCCCACCCCCACCGACCCCCCTCCACCGGAAGTGCCTCTCCGCAGGGACATCTTTGACGTCACAGGGCTTTGACGTCAAGGGCCGCGTGCCTGTCCGCGAGCGATGGGGCCGAGAAGGGCGGGAGACGCGGGGGAGGAAGAGCAGCAGCGCCCCCAGCTGCGGGCGACAGTGGCACTCCCGCCCGGGCAGCGCGCCGGCACCTTGGCTCTAGACTGCTTACTGCCCGGGCCGCCCTCAGTAACAGTCTCCAGTCACGGCCACCGACGCCTGGCCCCGCCCCAGGACCGCAGACCCGGCCACCTGCCGCACCCCTGGCCCCTCTGTCCCCGGGGTCTTCCAGCCCCATGCTCGCTGCCCGCGGCGCCGCTGTCCGCGGTGCTGATCCAGCGCAGGCGCCGCCATCGGGCCGTCCCGTCCCTGGTCCCCAGGGACTGCGGGGGGCGGCAGGCCCACAGGTACATCGCACAGGCCCGGAGCAGTCCCGCGCCCCGTTCCCTCCGCGCGCGCGCCGCCCCCTCACCCCCCCGCACCCCGCGGTCCTGACGTCAGCCTGACTGGAGCTGCCGCGACGCCGTCAGCAGCGCACGCCCCGCCCCCGCGTCTCCAGGACAACCGTGGCTTTCGATTGTTACTGTGGGAACCGGAGGTAACAGTCTACAGCCATGGTCGCCCCGCAGCACGCCCACGCGCCGCGCCACGCCGCGCACTGCCAGCCCGAGAAGAGGGAGACCTGGAGCAGGAGGAAGCGGGGGCGGCGAGTCCAGATCCGATGCGTCTGTGGGGATGGCGGGAGGGGCGGCGCAGGGAGGCGGGCTACTCCCTGGTTTGACTGCCGCGCGTTCACCCAGGCAAAGAAGAAAACACGGTCTGCGGAGTATGTCTGACCCTCCGCCTCAGTGACCGTCCTGTCCTCCTAGCTAAGGTATTGCAGCCAGGGGATGGTGAGAGAAGGGGCAGTTCTGGGTTTGGGGTTCTTTTTGTCTCCTTGGTGGGAGGGAGGCTGCTGGGACCTGGAGACAAGAAAAAATGTTGCCTCCTGGGGATTGAAGGGGATAGATGGAGGAAAGTTTTCCTATATACGCCACAACCTCATTCTACCAGGAACCCCTGAGTAGGCAGAGGGCGAAGAGTAACCCTTGAACCCATTTCCTGATGGAGTCACAGCCTCCCTGTATTCTGCTCCCCCCTCTTTCTACCTCTGAACCATGTAGGATGATAAGAAGGGTCCCAAACCCTCAGGAAGCCGATGGGCTAGTAAAGTTAACCTAAAGTGTTGTCTGAACACATTAGCATCCTTCCCTGGGTGTATCTCTGGGTGCTGGATTCCAATTTGAGACAGTGTCTCAAATTAGCCCTAAAGAGGGGTAGTGAATATCAGAGGGGCTGAAGTCTTGTTGCGCCAGTGAAGTGTGAGCAATGACCTCTTCAAAAACATTGTGTATGTCACCTGCCACCACCACCAACACCTGTTGCAGGGGCTGACTCTTGGATATTCAGTGCAGGATTTCCTTAGTGACAGTAGTGAGAATGGTTAATGTAACCGAGCCCTGCCGCCCATTAATCCAATTTTTCTTTACAGCTCTATAGCCCCTCCTTTCCTAAATTACTTCTAAGACAATTGGTGCTGGTTTCACAACTAATTAACGCCCACATGCTGCCTTCCTCCCACCCAAGGACCCTGAGATCTTAGATAAAAATGCACTTGATTCTGGAATCCAGTGGACATCTGTGGGCAGATCATAGTGTGTGCAGGTGGGAGTAGTGCACTGGAAAGCAGGAGGTCCAACCTGGCTTCATCATCAACTGCTTGTTATTTAAGGAGCCATGTTGTTTCTGAGCCTTTTGTAAAATGAGATAATAATCCCTCCTTTTTGCAGGCCTGTTGTGAGGATCAAATAGGATCATCTAAGTAAAAACCTTTGAAAACTGCAGAATGCTATTTCCATCTCAAGTATTCTATTAGGCTACTATGACTTTGTGAGAGGGCGGTGGTGTTGGGGAGACCCTAGATGTGGACACTTAGGCAGAGTGAAGAGAGGAGGGGGGCACATCTGACCAGAAGCTCTAGGCCAGGGGCTTTTGAGGGTTTCTTTGCCAAGGGACTCCCTCTCTCAAGAGCTTTAGGAATCTAATGTGGATTGAGAGGTAGAAAACAGAAATGGTAGGGTTATTCTGAAAAGAAGAGACCAACTCTTTTGCAATTTGAACCCATCTGGAAAAGGTGGTCAGAGGGGAAAAAACCAGAGGACCGACTGTACAATGGTAAGGTTTTTTAGTATCTTGGAAATCATTTAGTGCACCCCATCCTCAACCTATTTTATGGCTTAGGAAGGTGATGTCCAGGCAAGATATATAGCCCAATAGTAGTGAGTGGGGCCTCTCTGCTCATCTTCCATGGTGCAGCAGAGAAAACAATGCTTAGTGAAGATCAAGAATATGAGTTCTTGGATCTGAATCCAGCTTTGGGTAAGTTACCTAGCCTCCTGGTGCCTGTTTCCTCAGTTGTAAAATTAGGTTAATAATAGTATCTACCTCATGAAGTTGTGAGATGAAATTAGGCAACTCTAAAACTTCTGCTTATCACGTTATCTGCCGTAGCTATCACTCAGAAAATGATATTCCTCTTTCTATCCTCTAGACCTCATTTTCCTTAGTTATAAATTGAAAATGTTACATCAATGATTCTTAAACTGGAGAGCTCACTTCCCCTCCCTAGTGGAGTGCCTGAGAATCTCATGGGGGCTTTTTTCAAATAACACAGTTACCAGAGACTTACATTCTACTCTCTAAGTCAATGGTTTTCAAATCTTACATTGCATGGGAACGACAAGGGACAGTTTGTCAAAATGCACATTCCTGGGTCCCAGTGATTGACTCAGTAGGTCTGGAGTTGGTGCCAGGAATCCAAGTTTTAACACAATCCTGATGCAAGTGGCCAGTAGAATCTGTGTGCATGACAGTTTGTCAAAATGTACATTCCTGGGTCCCAGTGATTGACTCAGTAGGTCTGGAGTTGGTGCCAGGAATCCAAGTTTTAACACAATCCTGATGCAAGTGGCCAGTAGAATCTGTATGCGTGACAGTTTGTCAAAATGCACATTCCTGGGTCCCAGTGATTGACTCAGTAGGTCTGGAGTTGGCGCCAGGAATCCAAGTTTTAACACAGTCCTGATGCAAGTGGCCAGTAGAATCTGTGTGCGTGCTTGGGGGTGGGGGGCGTAGCCTCGATCCTCCAGTGTTCCTAGAGGGCATAATGGGAGGTGATATATCTCTCGCTGGGAACCAGTGGACCACATGATGTTTCCTTCTAGCCTGGACGTTTTGTGATTCTCAGGGGGAATTCTCCTCACCCCAAGCATGAGTTCTTCTGTTCCACCTAATAATGCTCTGCTCTACGCTCACTCTTCTAATTTTAAGCCCTGGCCTAAAATGCATCCCCCAATATATCTTCCCCTCTCTCCTTTAATCTTCACAATGATCTCAAGTGGCAGCAGCTGTGTATGTAACTCGTCATCATTTTCACCTCTTGGGACCTTGCTAAAGGGGGGCAGCCTGTGCTTGCCGTAAGGGCAGGTGAGCCCTGAACTGCAGATCCTCTGCATTCTGTTATGAACTGCTTATTTCCAGAGAAGCCAGGAATCTGAATTTTTGTGTAAAGTTCCTAGAATCCTAAATACCATAAACCCAGTTTTTTCTAAAATTCTATGGGCCAAATCCAACAGATCTGTAGGAGTAATCCAGTCCATTTCAGAGTCTCCTCCTTTTGCCAAGGAAGGAATCCCTTTACAACACCAAGAGCAAGGCAGAGGGGCCAGCCCGGTGGCGCGGCAGTTAAGTACGCACATTCCACTTCGGCGGCCCAGGGTTCGCCGGTTCGGATCCCAGGTGCAGACATGGCACTGTTTGGCAAAAGCCATGCTGTGGTAGGCGTCCCATGTATAAAGTAGAGGAAGATGGGCATGGATGTTAGCTCAGGGCCAGTCTTCCTCAGCAAAAAGAGGAGGATTGGCAGCAGTTAGCTTAGGGCTAATCTTCCTCAAAAAAAAAAAAAGCAAGGCAGAGGCTGACTGCAGCGAGGGAGAGCTTTCCCCCACCTTCACTTTCTGCTGTAAAGGTCCTAAACCCAGTAAACTGGCTCTGTCTGGGCAGGTAACTCCAGCTTTTCCACCTTGGACAGCTGCTATCTGTAGTGAAGAACTCAGAATTTTGTGTAATTTAAGGGCTATTAGTCTGGTTGTCTCAGAATGAGCTTGACTATTTGCGCTGCAGCCCTTAATTCTAATTCCTGCTCAATTACTAAACTCCCTGGGGGCAACCATGCTTGCTGGCCTGTTCTGATCTTCCGGAAAAGGAACAAGCTGGTGAGCCTGCAGAGGCAGGGCTGAAATGAGAGAGCAGGGCCAGCAGTGGGTGGGAGTAACTGAAGTTGGGGAAATGGTTAAAGTAGGCAGTCTCTAGAGTGCCTAGAACAACTCGCTGCACTCTCAAACCAGACTGCTTAGGCCTTGGCTGTGATCACTACTCAGTAGCATCAATCTAAGAAACTCTGTAAATGGGGTCAAGTTTGGGAAAAGGTTTCTTCTGTACTGTCTTTGGCCTTCATCCAAGGTCTAGCACCATCCTACCCTTCCAGCTCAGTTCAGAGGGGCTAAGGCAGTTAGAGAGAAAGCAGAGAAAACAAGAAGCCAGGGTTTGACAGAAGGCCAGCACACAACTCTCAGGGATCAAGACAAAGGAAGCTTAAACTCAGTGAGGCCTAGGCAGAGCCTTGCCAGGTAGTATCTTCCTAAAACTTCTCAGATGTAAATTCTTCCCTGATTCAGCCACCGTGGCCTCCTTTCCTTCAGCTCGGGACTTAAGACTTCACCAAAAATGTGCAAGTGTGTATGTGCACACATGGATGAGCTTGTCCTGGGAGCTCATAACTGGAAACACCTGCCTGCTTGGTGCTGTCCTGGAGGCTATGTGCACAGCCAGGAATCCAGACTTCTGTTATAAAATGGTTTTGCTGTGTGTAGCAGGAAAAAGATGCTCAAAATCCAAATCACCACTTTATTGTGTGGCAATCACAGTGGTGCCAGTCCCTGCTTTTCCCATGCCACTCTCCACTCATCCAGGGCTCCAATGGCCTTTTTCATGTCTGAGTATCAGATGCCAAGGTCAAAGCCCATTAAGGCCTCCTGCTCCCTTTTCTTGATTGCAGATCTGGGTTTATAAAATTTGGGTCTTTAAGAATTGTATTTGTCTCTTAATTGGTGATGGTAAGGAGCACTAACAGCCGTGGAGGTCTCGAGGCAGGGAAAGGGGAGGTCAGGGATTAGAGAGCTGCCCCAAGGTCACGTGTCCCTACTGAGGGGGGAGGGGGAGGGGATGTAGGGGCAGAGCATTTGTTGATCTTTCACTCTGCAAACTGGTCCAAGAACTTGAGGTAGGCCTGGCGCTGAGGCACAGCTGCTGGAATGAAGTGGCCACCAGAGTGGGTGACAGTGATGGCTCCAGTGAATCGGCTAGCCAGTTGCACACTTTCTTCAGAAGGGATGACACGGTCGGTGTCCCCGAAAACATGAAGTGAAGGTAATGACAAGGGGCCCAACAGGATGGATTCCTTGAGGCCAAGGCCCCGGGGACAGAAACCAGATACCAGGATGATAAACCGTGGCAAGGGGAAGCGGGGATCGCCGGCTTGGCCAAGGGCGCACACAACAGCCGCTAGCGCGGCCCCCTGGCTGAAACCAAGGAGCCCATCAAAAGGTCCCAGCTGGCTGAGTGCCTGTGCCACCGTTCCCAGGGCTTCCTCCAGACCTCTGCACACTGTAGGCTCCTTCAGTGCGGAGAACACGTCTGCCTCCTGTTCTGAAAACCACCAGCCTCGAGTCTGCTCCTCCGGAGGGCAGGGCTCTACAGCGATATGGGAAGAGGAGGGGGAAAGAAATGAGAAAAGGAGGGAGAATTTGGGAATGACAGGGAAAGAGAGGCGCTGAGGGGAGAAGAAAGACTGGGGGAAATGAGCTGGGGAAGAGACTGGCATGGAGGGAGGCGGAGGACAGACCACGGCGGAAGCCTGGAGGCTGGGATGGAAGCGACGAAGGGTATGGCCAGAGAGAAGCGAGGGTGGGAAGGATGAGGCGAGGGTACCGGGTGGGGTATGCTGAAGGGTGTCATGGGGACCGGGCAAGACAGAGAAGACTCGGGGCGCATTTCCGGGGCAGGGCTCGTCTCACCCGAGTCGGGCCCGGCGCCCTCGGGGCCCGCTGCGTCCGCGACCGGGTGCGGGCCGCTGAGGCACACGAGCTCGGCGCGGCCCCGCAGCGCCTTCCGCAGCGCTCCCGTCTTCTCGCGGAATCCCCGCTCGCTCTGCCGGAAGCCCGCCAGGCCCAGCACCCGCAGAGGTCGCGGCGCCGCCATCATGAGCGGCAGCGCGCCCCAGGGGCCGGAAGCGGCCCTTCCCCGAGCGGAAGTTGACTACCACGAGGGGTGGGACCACAGGCCACACCAGCCTGAAGGCGGGCCGCGGAGCGAGCGGGCGTTCCCATGACAACGGGGAGGGGTCGGGCGGCTACCTGAGACCCAGGAGCGTCTCAAGGGGCGGGCGGCGCCTCCTGCTCGTCTCGGCAGCTGCAACCCTCGCAGGCCGCGGCGGAAGAGGGGCCCGTGGGCCCCTTCTGCACCTGAGGTCGCAGACTTTGGTCAGGGTCCCTCTGCTGCGACGTCCTCCACCCCGCTCCAGTGCATCACCCCGCTCCAGTGCATTTCCCGTAGCGACCGCAGGGCGGCGGCCTCGGCTCGCGTCGCCAGGAAGGCGGCCAGTGCCGCGGCCGCGCCCAGCTGCGGCTTCCCTGCCTTCCTTGGAGTCCCCACCTCCTTCCCCACCGTCGGCCGGCCCTGGGCTTGGGGAGCCCGGTCTCGTCCGTGGTTCACCGTCCACGGTCCCAAGGAGCTGCCGGCGTAGAAGTCCATGGGGTAGGGCTGCTGCCAGGAAATGTCCCTCAGGGCCACCGCCGCCTAGGGGAGGAAAACCGGACAGTAACATTTGCCAACATTTTTCTGCATACAATTATTTAATTCAATCCTCAGAAGGGCCTACGAAGGTCTTATTATCCCCATATCACAGAAGGAAATATGAGGCTCAGAGAGGTTAAGGAACTTTCCTAAAGCCACATAGCTGGTAAGTGGCTCAGCTGTAACTAAGTGCTGCCCACCCACCTGGCTCCACTTCAGATCCCTCCCTTGAGAGAACCAGGTGCCAAGCCCACTCTCTCCCAGGAATTTTCAAAACTTGGTGTTACCTCATAGGGTGTCAGCAGCGGCTTGGGGAAGGCTGTGCCCCAGTCAATCGAGAGGCGTGGACATGCCACCTGCACCCACCTGGGAAGGGAAGTCAGGTCATACCCAAAGGGGCTTCTCCGCTCTCTTGGGCAGCATGCTGAAGAACATGACTGTGCTCCCAACACACCCAATGAATGCTCACTATTAATTCTAAAGTAAAGACTGTCACCTACTGCTGTTTAGAATAACACTACAGTGTTGCCTCTTTTCTCCTGTGTCCTCCACTGACTATGAGCTTTCTGAGGGTAGGGCCTAGGCAGCTCATTTGTGATAGTATCCCCAAAACAAATTTGGTGCCTGGGACCGTGCAGGTGCCAACCACCCCTCAAACTCATCTCACACAGAACGACTATGACGTTGCGGTTGCCTGTGAGCCCCGAAGCCAGACAAAGTAGGTAGGACCCACAGCCAAGGGGAGCCCCTACTGGATGAGTGCTCTGTAAACATGAAAATTTCATGACCATAGAAGCAATTGCTACCGACTCCAGCCTTCAATATGCAGGACCCAGATTCCAAGCTACTTTAGCCAGAGTCACAGGTAAAGTTGGGAAACTTACACATCCACCTCAGGAAGTAGGCTGAGCTTGCTGGGGAAGATCTCAGAGAGCAGCAGCCTCACGAAGGGAAGTCCCAAGGCTCGGAGCCGAGATTCCAGGTGCTGGTGGGAAAGGGAGGCTGAGCTGGGGTCACTATGATCAAGCAGCCAAGACTAAATCCCTTAGCCTACTGACTTTCCCAGCTGCGGTTCCAGTCAGGCCCCTCCTCCAGAGGCCATCCCGAGCCCTCTGACCTCCAGAATCTTGGGGCTGCCTTGGCGGCCCAAAGTACCCAGGATGAGGCCCCAAGATTTAGCTGAGCGGGCAGTGGCTATGGCTTCTTGGCGGTTGACCTGCATGCGCTGGTGGTCATAGTGCTCTCTGGACAGGACTTTGCTATATGGGTCATATCTGGAAAAGAAGAAACTGTCAGGGTCCGGTAACGGCCACTCACAGGACATGTGCTGTACACACGGCTCTCTGACTCAGCCCCTTCGTCTCTTGAACCTTCAGGCTCCATGCGGGTAATGAGGACCACAGGCAAGAACAGAGATTGTCGTGGGGAAGATCAGTCCCACCGCTGGAGCAGGCAAGAGTGGGAGACAGTTTTAGGATCTTGATGGGAGTCCCAGGGGATGGGTGGGTACTGGGCAGCAGCAGCCCCAGGTCTGACCCCCAGATTTAGGACCTAAGTGCTTCCGAACCTGAGGGCTGGGGGCCATTAAGTGGCCAGGGAATGAGGAAGTTTCAGCTGACTGAGGGCCTCCGTGGCAGGGAGTCCCACCCCCTCCCCAGCTGGTCAGCCGGTCTCAGCACACACCGGTAAGCGGGGACACTGGGGTTGGCAATCATGACAGACTCCAGATGGAAGCGGCCATCTCCGAGGTATCTGCAGTGGGTAGAAAGGCAGCGATCAGTGGGGGATGGGGCAGCAGAAGCAGGGGCTGGCTTGGAGGTCCAGAAGACTGAGTTCTCGGCTGCCTGTGCTGCTGACGTGGTGCATGAACTGGGACAAGTCATCATTTCACCTCCTGAGGCCTTGGGTTGTTTACATGTCACATAAGGAGTTTGAATTAGATGACCATAGGGCTCCTCTAGTTAGCTAACAGAGAATTTAAGCACTGCCCCGTCCCAACCTTCCTGGAGGAAGAGTAAAGGGGCAGCCAAGGCCATGGTCAGGCCACTCGGGGCCCTAGAGACCCTAACTTGGAGGTGAGGCGACAGATTCTCCCTCACCTGGCTCAATATAGAGGTGGGAAGTCGTGTTCAGGGTGTCATTTATGCTGTACACGATGTTTCAGGGTATACACTGGCTACTGTCTGCCCAAACTAGCTCTTGGGTCGTTTCGGAACTGTAACAACAGCCACTGTTTATGGGACTTGTGCCTTCTGTGCACCAGGCCTGGGTTAAGCACCTGACGTATGACTTCACTCAATCCTATCAAATAATCTTCAAGCTACTATAGTATCCCCGTTTTACAAAAGACACAAAAGAGGTTCAGAGATGTTACGAAACTTGCCCAAATTCACACAGCTATTAAGCAGTATATGTGGGAATTAACTCCAGGCTGAACCACCAGGCTGTACCAAGCACGCCCTAGGAGATGCTGCCCCTAACAGTACCTGCCCAGGCCACGGAGAGGCCGGAACATGGAAGCCAATATGCCATGGCAGCTCCTTCTCTCTTGGAGATCACACTGAATTTTGTTGAATGGTCAGCACTCAGAGTGTCCCTCCCGCCAACACACACCTTGAAGCCCCCAAGGGTGGGCATCTATGAGCTCAGAGTTATGCAGGTACAGACACAGGGGCAATGCCCCTTGGGAGCAGGGCTGCCAGGTGTGGGCTGCGGAAGGCCCTGTCTAGGGCCAGGGGTGTCCTGTGTGAGTGCAGCAAGGCCTGTGGGAGGAGCATCTGCAGCCTCAGAGGTGGGGCTGAGTCAGGGGAGTCCCCCTCCCTCCTTCCCTGCCTTAGCAGGGCTCCCCTCCCCAGTCCCAGCTGGGGGAGCTGTGGGCTCTGAGGCTGGCTGCATTCACACAACATTAAGCATTTCCATTACCTAAAATAATTAGGCGGCAGGAGACACGCTGCTCCTGCTTGTTAGCTGTCCGGATGCTAAATTAATGGGGCTGCAGCCTGGGCGTGCCCATCCATCTTCTCCAATTATATTTCCACCATTTCTAGCCCACCCTCATCCCCCCATCACGGCCTCTGATTCCTGCCCCTCCTGGGCGTAGCCTTCTGCATGGTGGACAGAGCACTGGAGAGGGAGACAAGAAACCTGAAACCCTATTTGGTCCCCACCTTGCAGAGTGACCTTGAGCAAATGGTTAAGGAGCTTTAGACTCAGTTTCCTTCACTGTACAAGGAACCTCATGCTCCGTCCTAGGGTACATTTCCTGTGTCTCTCCGACTGTGCCCCCCATTTTTCACTTACACAACAGCCTCCACTTCTTTGGGCAGGTTGGGGGATGTGCAGCCCAGAATCTCCCCAGGGGACAGGGGTTTGCACTGTGGGACACTCACACGATACTCAGCTTTCAGCTCGTGGGCAGCTGCCTGTTAGGATAATGAGGAAAGGGAAGCAAGTGGATGGGGAGGGAGAGCCAGTGCCAAAGGACCAGCCTGGAGCATCCGACATGGGGATCCAGGAACAGCCTGGAGACTGACTGCTGTCTGTCCACTTACCTGCAAGGTTGACACAAACTGAATGGTGCTGACCAAGGCAAGGGCGCTGGCTGGGGGAAAGGTGAGGCGGATAGAGTCCAGGAGGTGGGTGGTGTCTATCCGGATGTCCACAAAGACATACAGCACCCGGAAGTCTTGGGCCGAGGTGTCCATGGGAACTGGGAGAAGGAAAGAGTTCAGGAGACTTTGTTTTGGAAGGCAGGAGGGGCAGACAGCCTGGCCCAGGGCCTGTCTCTGAGCAGCCAGGACCAGTGGTTTCAGCCTGGGAATAAAAGGAGGGGTAGGGGAAGAGGAGGGGTCATAGGTGCCTTCTCTGTCACTCTGCTGGGGGCCCAGCTGCTCTACCACCAACAGCCTTTCAAACCCCCGCATCTGGGACAGCAGCACAGTTTCCAAGGCAACCAAATCCAAAGGAAAGATTCACCTTCAGAGCAGGAAGGCCGAAGCCATCCCAGAAACCAGGAGGTACCTGGTGCCTGCAAGCAGGACAAGAAGGCACTGTGATGGAGATTAGCATGCTGTCCCGCAGCTCTGCCAGCCCTACCAGGGTCCAGATGTCCTGGCCCACCATACCCAGACAGCTGTGGCCATAGTGCACCAGGAAGTCAGCTCCCAGGGCCCTTGCAGTAAAGTCATCCACACAGCAAGCCCCGTAGGTCACATCACCCATCACCATCACTTCGGCCTCTGTGAACCTGTGGGAGTGGAAAAGGGTGGAGGAACAGTGGGACAATGACATGAGAAGTGAGTTGAGAGAGACGCCTAATCCTGTGGAGGTATCTTGGGGCCCAGCTCCTCTCCCAGTCCTTGGGTTGGCAGCTGCCACTTCTGCCAACAAAGAGTAGGAAGGGCCCAGCTGCCACCTCCCCCAGCCCTGGCAGCAGCTCCTGGAACTGTAGCTGTATGAGGATGGTGTCTGTGGTACCCTGATTCCTCTGTCCAGGCTCAGACTGCAAGAGGGACCCCCAGCCTGGCATACACAGGGTCAAACACAGACCTCCAACGCCCTGCCTCATCCCACCCAGAGCAGTGAGCATGTACATACATGCAAAGGTGCCCACTCCCACGCGCTGGCACTGTGGTGTGCGTGGGCATGCATGTGTGGATACAGGCAGCCTCCCTGTCGCCCAGACCCCCTGCTACCTCCCCACCCTTAGTCAGGGCCCTCTGTGCCCAGGATGGGGGGACCCGTGCACAGCTCCCCCACAGCACATGGCACTGCCCACACACCTCATGCGTCAGGAAGAGTAGGCTCTGGCCAGCACATTGCCATGGGATCTGCTGCCAGGCCTGAATCATGGGGGACGGGGTGGGTGGGGGAAGACCCCGCACCCCCTGAACTCACCACAGGAATGGAGCCAGAGAACCAGCTCTTCCCTGAGAGACCCACCCCTGGGGCCTGGAGCCTGGCTCAGTGGCTGAGTTCTCCCCATTCCTCTCCTGGGGGTGTGGCGGGGAAGGCCGAGCTACTGCCAGTCAGGAGGGGGCCCTCCTCCTCCCCCTTCCCCAAAGCAGGCTATGCACAGAAGCAGATTATTCAGCTCCTTAGAATGCAGCCCAGGCGTCTGAGTCAGAGCACTTAATTTTTTATAGATTAAAATGTATGCAAATTGGCCTGCGCCCCAGAGAGCATCCCCAAGGGGCAAGAGGGTGGGAGCTGGAAAGTGAGTCTGTGCCAGCCGCGGGATGAGGAGCAGAGTGGGGGCAGGGCAGCAGCAGGGAAGTGGGCGGTTCCCATCACGAGATGACCTCCCCTTTCTTCATTCGCCCTCCCCGTTCCCATGCTGCTTCCAGATGGCTGAGAGCTCACCCCTCTCCCAAGGATGGCTCATTGTATTGAAGAAACTTAGAGGAGGGAGGTAGAGGAAGGAATACCATCTCCTAGGCACTTCTCCCTCTGCCAAGCCCCTCCTTGCCCTACTCCTCCAAATGTGCCAGAAAAGTTTCCCCTTAGCCAGACACTGCGCTAATGGCTCAGCCCTTTCCAGGGTCTGGTCTGAGGATTCTTAGGTTTGTCCTCAGCCCCACCACCTGCTCTGGACCCAACTTTGAAGATACTAGAATTGACTCATTCCTCTCTCCCAAATATTTTAAGGGAGGGGAGATTTATACAGACAAGCAAGGAACTCAGCAGGCTGGGAGTTTAGTTTTGGGTTTTTCCCTTTGTGTGTATATAGTTGTGGGAAGGGATAGGCCAAGGTAGAGGTCCAGAAGGCAAAAATGATGCCACCAGGCAGAGCTGTAATGGGCATAGGGAAGGTCTTGGCTCAGCTCCCTCTCCAGTGCCCCAAGCCTCACCTCTCCAAGATATCCACAATGGTGCAGGCGAAGAGGAGGAGGCCTTCAGGCATTTGCAAGGCCACTGCAAGACAAGAGCAGAGACATGAGAGCAGAGGGCTGGGAAGAGGCTGGGATGGGGGCACTGCCCCTGGCTGGCCCAGTCAACCTCTCCACCCCAACCCCAGCTCAAAGTTTGGGGCTCACCCTTCTTGGCCTGGGCCTGTTGGATCCTCCAGATGGTCTTGGGGATCTCAAAGTTATAGTTGGAAGGCAGGACTCGGATGGCTGCCTGCAGCTGGGGGTTGTTCAGGATCTCAGGGGGGATCTGATTGGCCAAGCGGCCCCGAGGGACTCGACCTAGGACAAATGCAAGGCCAGAGTCAGTGCCTGGCCTAAACCACAACCAGATCCGGTTGCGCTGTTAACTCCATCCAAGTTTAAGGCCCAGATCCCACATGTGAAGGGGGTTGGCCCAGACCTCTTCCCCACTGAGTTCATCCTGAAGCTGGAAAGACAACCAATTAAGCCAAGAGGAAATCTGCATAATTAATTTCTATGTTGTGAGATTATTGGGAATCAAAGACTTCGAGCCCATGAATGGGTATGGCTCACCCCTTACTTCAGGAGAGTAGAGGTGACACCAGGGGACTGAACTGAGAGGCAAATGGAAAAAATGTCCACACAACTGCTCCTTGATAGTGAACAACCCGAGTAAAACCAAGAGCCTAGCCAGCCCAACCAGCCTGGGAAAGTGTCCTTCTCCCCCAGTCCCTGAGAATACCCTGAAGTTCTGAGATCCTAGATATGAGATCTATAAGCAAACTGTTATAAGTACTAACTTAAAAGACTGCCTTCCTTACTCGAGTCCCACTGACTTTGTCTACACTGGTTAATTTCTGCCCTCTTCCCTCTCATTTAAAAAGGAAATAAACACCATACATTTAACTGACTTAACAAATTCCCTAGTCCCATTGTTGGACCCTGCTTCCCACCCCAGGAAGGACAGAAGGAACACACTCTAGTTAGGATGGGGGGCAAACAGGTAAGGACAGAAGAGTGTCCTCGGCCGTTAAGAGGCTAGCAGTCTAGTGGGGGCAAATGCAGGTATACAAGTAATTACAACCTCCTGATTAAAGGAGAAAACACTAGCGCTTTAGGAAAGCTGCAGCCCTTAGTCTGCATCCTACTCCCCACAATTCAGCTTCCCTCAACCTCCAGTTATCTCTTTAGGAGCCAGACAGTTCGGGAATGTGAGAAGGCAAGAAATCAATTTATTCAACGAATATTTATTGAGCTTGCACTATGTGCCAGAACTTCTGCTAGGGCCTCTCCCTACACAAGAGGGATCCTCCCAGACCTGACCTTTCACCCTCTATGTGTGGGGGTAGGTGGGCAGGTGGTGGTCGTGACAGTGCAGTGGAGAACAAGCATGACAGACTGGGACCCTGAGGTCAGATTTTAATGTTACCACTGCTATGGTTTTTGTTCAGTTGTTTCAAAGGCCTTGGAACAACCAGCCCAGTGTCCCTGGGCCCCTCACAGAAGCTCTGACAGCCCCACGTCCCTTGTGGTCCTTGAGGTGTGGGAGCTGCTAGTCTTAGCAGCTCAATTTGTCCCAAGGGTCAGTAGGCGCCTCCTCCTTTATGACGTGACTGTGATCTTCTGTTTACGTCAGTATCCCCCGGAAGACTGTGAGATTCCCGAAGGCAGGACTGTAGTCTAGTCCCTGCACCTAGCACAGGCCTGGCATTCAGTGGGTGCTCTATAAGTGCCTGGTGAAACCATGTGCCTCTTTCCTGAAAGCATTCGCTGAGGGCCCATTTGTGGAATGCTCGCTGCAACGCGCCTGGCTCCTTCCCTCCCCGCCGCGTCCGTCTTATCTGTGAGTCCTCATGTGTCTGGCTACCGGCTAGGGCCGGGGGGCAGCGTTTCCGGCTTGAGGACTACAAGCTCCTAGGAGGAGCTGCTCCCGATCGCGCTCTAAGGCTGCAAGAGAAAGACCGGTCCCCCTGGGCTCAAGTGACAGCCGCCCGGAGCGAGTGACGGCGAGGCCTCCGGGTCTGGCGGAGAAAGGCGCCGCCGCCGTTAAAGGGGGCTGGACCTGTCCCTGATATGGGGGCCATACCCCAAGATGCGACGTCCGGAGGCCGCAGCGCTGTAGCACCCACCTCTGCCAGGGCCTTTTTGGCCGCCGGGCTCCGCCACCTCGGAGACAACCAGCGCCGCCATCACCGGCCTGCCCACGTGGGGACCAAAAAGACAGCGCTAGAAGAACGCGGAGAGCCCAGACGTGGCGATCGAGCGCCGATTGGCCAGCGAGGGGCGGAGATTTGCTGGGCGGAGCAGCGAAGAAGAAGATAGGGGCGGGGCCATAACGGGCCGGATCTCAGACCCAAAGGTCGCGACTCTCGGGAGCCGCTGGTAGTCCCCAACCACCGCGGTTGCCATCTCTCGGCGACCCTTTCCTCTCCTCCTCTCCTAGCCGGTCCGAACCTGGAACTCCCGGACCGATGTCCCCTATTTGCCCGAGTTCTGAGGGCGGAGTCTTGTGAATGGGGATGCCACTAGGTCTTCTGTCAGCTCCCCTCTCCCCCCGACCCCGCTCCTGGTAAGCAGTGGACGCCGTATGGGTGGAGCCACATTCCCCAGCTCGGAGCACCCCGCTACCCGGACAGAAGAGAACTCAGTGCCCACCAGCCCAGCTCCAAGTTGAGTCTTGGTGGCAATTTCCGGAGTGCCAGGTGCCCTTATCACCTTTGGAACCCACAGTGTGGAGGGTTCACATGTGAGAAACTGCTACCAGGGGAAGGTAGCCCTGAGTCTGAGGGTGCTTTCCTGGGAGAGCGTGGCAGTCAAGGACTCCAGTTGCCCAGATCTTCTGGATTCTGGCCATTTGCCCTGTCTAGGCTGCCCCTCACACCTAGATAGCCTCTCTCCCAATCAGTGGCCTGAGCTCCTGGGATCCCAGAGAAGGCAGAGCAGCCAGTGAGACAGCCTTGACCTTAGGAAGAGCAGAGTCCCTGCAGGACTGGCCTTCAGTAAGGTTGGCCCTTACAGCAATGGTCCTCCAGGGCCGTTTGCCCACCCACCCCTCTGACACCATCTTTCTCTCTCTGTGGTGGCTATGTGAGCACAACTGGCCCTTTAAGGCAGCTCTGTGGCCTTGGGCTCCCCTGGAGGCCCTCCCTGCTTGGAAACTCCTAATTAAGGTGCTGGGAGAAGTGAAAAACAAGCAGCCAGGGATAGACCCTGCCTGGGAGGCTGCCCGGAGAGGAGGGATGGCAGGGCAGGCTGGGAGTGAGCAGCCAAGGGTAGGACCAGAAGGGGTCAGTGCTCTGCCCCTCAGGCCACTGAATGATACTGAGGACAATCACAGCTTTGGACAGGAATGTGGCCAATATGGGTCCCAGGAACATCCCACTCACCTTGATAAGAGTCCAGCATGGCTTTCCCATCTTTCCCAGGTTCTCTGGACCCCAGGCTGCAGGATCTCAATTCCAGGGATCCCCTGAGCCCAGCCCCTCCGCCTTCAGGACAGTAAGGCTCAGCCTGTGTGTGGGCAGCTTTAGCTCCTGGTGGAGCTGTAAGTCTCAAGGGGAAAGATTGGCTCCAGCAGAGCAGTGGCTGCTCCCTAGCAGGCACCCCACCCCTTAGGGCCTTTCTCTAGGCAAAGGTGAGACTTATTGATGATGGAAGGCCCCCATCCTCTTATAACATTGCCCTGCAGCCTCTGTGCTGAATGAGCTGTCTTGGTCCCCATTAGGAAAACAGGTGAGGTCCAAGAGAACTAGACATCAAGGACAGATGTGAGCATGTTCCCCAAGACCCTGCAGTGCAGGACATTGGGGGCTGCCACTCACCGTGGGCGGAGAACACCTCCATCTGTCCCAGGGGGTCTCCCTGCTTGAGTTACTCAGCAGTCTGAGTAATGACTGCCTGACAAGAAGGCGGGCACAGTGCACCCCCACATTACACCACGACACCCTCCTACAGTCACCCCCACCCCCTGGCTGGACTCCAAAGCAGCACCCAGCCCTCCTGAGGCCTGAAATAACTCTGCTTCTCACACTCACGCCCAGCCCCAGCCAACTTTGCCTGAGATGCTGAAGTTTGTGGGGCAGGGGGTCATGGGGAGGCGGCTTAGGGAGGTGGAAGGAGGATTAACATACCCTGATTCAGGCCCACACTTTGGCACTGATCGTTGCGTGACATCGACAACCTCCCTGGGCCTTAGTTTACTTATGGAGGGCCTCTGCAGCTCTCAGTGTCATCAGATTCAGCTTTAGTGTCTGCCTGGCAGGGTTCAGGCAGGGTGTGGGGTCAGCCCAGCCCTGAAGCTGGTTGAGACTAAGAGAAAAAAAATCCCTCACCTTTTGTTGCCACCCCAAGAAGGATCAATCGTCTTAATCTTCAGAACAGGGATACCTTCTCACTTCCAAGCATTTACACATTCTATCCTGCCTGGAATGGCCTTTCCCCTTCTCAGCCTGATGAACTCAGTCTTCAAGACCCATCCCAAATGGCACCTCTTCTGTGGAATCTTCCCTGATGGCCCTTCACCCCTTACAGAGCCCCCTCTTACACTTTGTATCTCCTCCTGTTACTTTTCTTTCCTTTTTTTTGGTGAGGAAGATTGGCCCTGAGCTAACGTCTGTTGCCAATCTTCCTCTTTTTTTAAAAAAAAAGATTTTATTTTCCCTTTTTCTCCCCAAAGCCCCTTGGTACAAAGTTGTATATATTTTTAGTTGTGGGTCCTTCTAGTTGTGGCATGTGGGATGCTGCCTCAGCATGGCTTGATGAGCGGTGCCATATCCACGCCCAGGATCCGAACCATCAAAACCCTGGGCCACCGAAGCAGAGGGCGTGCACTTAACCATTCAGCCACAGGGCCAGCCCCATTCAATCTTCCTCTTTTTTCTCTCCAAAGCCCCAGAACATAATTGCATATCCTAGTTGTAAGTCATTCTAGTTCTGTGTGGTACACCACCACAGCATGGCTTGATGAGTGATGCATAGGTCCATGTCCAGGACCCGAACCGAGGAACCTGGAGCCACCAAAGTGGAGCCCACAAACCTAACCATTCAGCCACGGGGTCACCCCTCATCCTGTTACATTCTAAGGTGGCTTTCTTTCCTGATTATGCCATAAGCTTCTGGAAGTCCAAGCCTATGTCGTTAGCTCAAACCTGGAGCCTCGGTGTCATTGGATGCATGTATGAGTGAATGCGTGATACTGGCCTTCTTTTTGACCTTCCTATCATGCCAAGTTTTTCTCCAAAGAATCACACGATTCATTCTCTCACTTCAATTAGATCTCTGCTTAGATGCCACCTGCTCAGAGCAGCTTTCCCTGGCCCTCTCAAATCAGCTCCAGAACAAAACCCTGCTTGCTTTTCTTCCAAGTACTGTCTGACTTGGACTTTCCCCATTTGGTTGTTATTAGACTGTAAACTCCACAAAAGCAGGGACCTTGTCTTTTTCTTTGGCTGAATCCCCAGGAATAGTGGTGCCCCACACGTGGTAGACTGTTAATAAATGTGTGTTGAATAAGTGACTTAGCCCACTCTTTTTTCTTTCCCAGGACCCCTCTTATCCCAGGCCAGTAGGGGGTGCCGGCCTCCACCCAGGATCTCCTGGCCTGAACCTTCTCAGGGCTCAACCCAACTGGCTCCCTGTGGGACCTGCTTTCTAGGCGGTGCCTGCTCCATTTTCCACGAAGCCCCGGGTGGGGTCTGTGCAGACCGCGGGCGATCAGAGGCCCTTCTTGGCGGAGATAGCCCACCTGAGCCCCACATTGGTCCTTCCCTCTCTCTAGGGTTTGCAATTGGGCCTCCTCGAATACTTGCTGCAAGGTCTAGACCAGCTTGGGGGCAAGTCACACCTCCACCCAAAAGAATAGTGTTCTGGGACGCGGGATGGGAGGCGGCTGGGTCCGCTGGAGCTGCCCTGGGCAGGGAGGAGCCGTCGAGCCTCCGAGGAGGAAGCGGAGCCGGCAAGACAGGAGATGGGCAGGGGTGCGGACTTGTGACCGAGGGCGCTGGGCGGCGATCCTCCCTTCCCAGCCGGTCGGTAGAGCGCACGCTTCCAGCCGCCTCTCACGGTGACCTCCAGCCGCGAAGGGCGAGCGGGCGGGGGTTGGGCTGCGGGTTCGAGCTCTGGGAAGCCCATGGGGCCCGGGAGGGGCTTTCGAGTGGCCCGACCACCCGCCCGGGGACTGGGGCAGGTACTTGGACGGACGCGGGCCGAGGATTGTCCCCGGGGGCGGGCGCAGCTAAAACACCTTGGGAGGCGGCGCCGCGCTGCTGAGCGCCGCTGCCCTGGGAATAGGACTGCGCTCGGCAAGGCGAGCTGAGAGCACTTTCATAAATTTTGTATGGGAGGCGCTCCGTGAGCGGGGGCGGGGAGCGGAGCGAGAAGGAGGGAGCTAGAGAGCGAGGGAGGGAGGGAGGAGGAGAGGTGGGGGAAGCCGGGGGGGAGGAGGAAGGGAGGCGCCCCGCTCCGCCGATCGCTCGGTCCTGCAAACGCGCGCCGGGCGCTTTCCCCGGAGCTCGGCGGTGCGTGCGAGCGCCCTTTTGCAGCAGCCGCGGCGGCGGCGGCCCGAGGGGGCGAGGGGGAGGGGGCCTCGGCCGGGGGGCGGCTTTCCCCCTCAAAATCGCCTGCAAAGTGCTCGGGGCTGCAGAACCAGGCCGCCGGCTCCGCGGAGCAAACCGCTCGCCCCAGGGCTTGAGAGCGCACGGGGCTGCCGGGCAGCGCCGCGGTTGCTGGTGGGCGCCGGTGCCCTCGGCGCGGGGCTCGGGCTCACCATGCCCCTGCGGGGCCGGGCCGCCGGGCACAAGCGGATCCCGGGCTTGCCCCCGCCTCGACGCGCTCGGATTAGCTGCAGCCGGCGCCCAAGAATTTGAATCTGAAGCCCGGAAGGGAGTGCGCCTAGGCCGACCTCGGAGTGGCGGCCCCGCGGCCAACATGCTTCGCAAAGGTGAGTTGGAGCAGCAGGGGCGAGTTGGAGTTGGATGCACACCGGGCACAGCCGCGAGCCCGGGAGCCGCCCGAGAGTTGCCCGGCGCCGGGGCTCCGGCCCGGGAAGCAGCTCCTGGCGGGCTGGCAGGCTTTGCGGGGACGCACCTGCCAAGGGGTTGCTGCTGGAGCTTAACCCCCTTCGGGGGCCGGTTGCGAGACGGGATTTGCTCCATGGATCAAGTGCCTAGGCCTAGGGTTCTGGCTCGGCGAGGTCATTTCGGGACCACAGTGAGCTGCCGGTGATGGAAGGGGAGGCGGCCTCCTGGGACCTTTGCTTTGCCACTATAAAGTTTTGCACTTGCAGGCTCTATCCCCTGCGCCGGCACACGCCGCCAGCTTCTGCCGCCTTGGCGGGGCCGGGTCCAACCCGCGCTCCAGTGCAGCCAGCGGTCAATCACCGCGCCACCCGGGCGCTCACTGCGCGCCCTAGCTTCTCAGGCGGGGCCCGGACGCAGGCACCTCCCCTGCTTTGGTCCACAGGGACGGGTTCTCGGCACCCAGCTGCCGAGGAGGGGTGACTAGCGCCTGATGTCCGGTTCCTCAAACTTTCCTTATGCCTGCAGCGGAGGGATGAGAAGGCGCAGGCCGTGCCGGCAGCGTGCGCGGCCGGTGCCAGGCTCAACTTGAGGAGAGCTGGCTCCGCGACCACCTCACCACGACCCCCCGGGC